TATAGCAGAACGCAGAGGAACTTGAGGTGCGCAGTTTAGTAAGGGATGGCTAGGGGACCTGGGAATAACCGTAACGGCACTGCAGGTTGGCCTTTAAAGAAGTGTAGACTGGGGCGGCCAGAGAAGAACGGCCTGAATATCAGGCCATGTTCAGAGAACACTGGGACAGGGGCACAAGGCATTGGGGCTTTTGACTGAGACGTCAATTTGGAAAGGTCTGTTAGGGTCAGAAAGGAGCTTGCAGTTCAGCCTGAAACTATAATGGTTCTAAGTGCAGCAACCATCTTAGAGCCATGGAACATGGGAGTGGGAGGGACTAGATGACTCCTGTCCAACTGTTTCCTTTTACTGAGGCCCACGGAGAGGTGACTCTACAGTGATCACCTCGCTGGGCAGGAGAAGCACCTGGGCTATGAGCTGGATCTGTGATTCTCAATCTGCCGCCCATACTGAGTTTTTACTTCCCCAAGTCTGCTAGCAGACTGTGGTCTCTAGCAGGAGAGGAAACCAATTTTAGTTCTGCACTCTGAAACCCATCACTTGGGAAGCTCCCATCAAAGATCCTCCTTCTGGGTTGGAGATACGGCTCAAGCGGTCTGCTTAGCAAGCTCGAGGCCCTGAGTTCAAGCTCCAGTACCACCAAAAAAACCCTCCAAAACAGAAACCAAAACACAACCGTTAGTGAGACATGGTGACGAACATCTATAATCCCAGCACTTAGAAAGCTGAGGGCAGGAGGATCTTCAGTTTGCAGCCAACCTAGGCTACATAGCAAGACCCTCAAAAAACCAAAACAAACAAGAAACAGCAACAAAAAACTATCCCAGATGAGCCCCCAGTACGTGCCTGAGCCCAGCTACTCAGAAGGCTGAGATAGTAGGATTGCTTTGAGCCTGAGTTCAAGGCCAGCATGTACCACGTAAATTGACTGTCCCCAAACAAAACAAAACAAAATCCATAAAACCCCAGAAACCAACAATACTACCCGATCCTGAAGCTTTAAAAGATTATTATCAAAGAACAGATGCTAAATCTCACTCATAACTTTAAAAAACGCAAATTAAAATAATAAGATACATTTTTCATCTAAGAGACCAGTGAAGCAAATCTTGTAATCCCCATGGTTGGAGAGGGTATGGTACCTTAGCCAGTCTGATCCCCTGCTGGTCAAAGCAGGGCAGACTTTTAGAAATCAAACTGGAAGGAGCTACAAAAAATTGAACTGTGCATCCCTTTTTTCCCAGCAACTACAGTTCAGGAATTGATCCTATTGGTAACTTTGGTCAGGTATGCAAAAATGTACCTCGGAAGATGTTTATTTTGAATGTGTGGAATTGTGAAAAACTATTTTCTCACCAATATAGGGTAATTATTATATACCCATACAAAGAAATAACATGCAGCCATTTTTTTTAAAGGACAGATTTCTGTGTGCTGACACAGAAATTGTGTAAAACATAGGAAGTGCAACCAAGCAAGTGGTTGCAGTTTGTGCTTAGTATGAATCCCGTTTCTGTAAGAAATGAAAGTATGTGCATGCTTGTATATACACAGAAAAATCTGCACACACAGAAATGGTTAATAGTGGTTATCCTGAGGGATAGGGACAAGGGATGGTGGGTGGAGAAGTCTATTTGTACTGTTTCACTTAAATTCTGTTTTTCTTCCTTTTTTTGATCTTTTCTTTATTCATTTATTTTTTGGCTTCTTTTAAACTATGAGTATGCACCTTTGTAATTAAAAAACAGTTTAGAAAATAAAGAAGTATTGCATAGATACAGATTTTAACTTTAGAGGATTATTGGAAATAAACAATCCTATCTTCAAATTTAAAATCAGATCCAAGTTTTTTTATTACTACATTTCTGTTCTAATAACAGTGGGCCCTTCCTGTTTCTGTTTTTGGATTTATGGCTTGACATCTCTTCATTCTTCTGTTTATTGGGTGGCTACCATGTGTCAGGCACTGAGCCTGAAGGAGCCACCAGGAGGGTCATTTAAGTCAGCCCCAGATGCAGCAGGAAGGACAAAAATGGATGCCTGCAGAGGATTCTACCCATTCAAGAAACAGCTCCTGGGTATTTCTACGTATGTACCAGGTACAGGGTGCATAACAATGACAGCCATACAATTCCTGCCCTCTGAAGACAGGCATGAAGAGAAACTCACACCTGGCAAACAGACCGTAGTAAACATGGGGCTGAGGCCCTGGGCAAAGCCCTGTAGGTTACCCAGGATGTCTCACCCAGCCTAGGGGAAGGCCACCTGAGGAATGGGGAGCACTTCAGGGTCTAGGAGAAGAGTGGAGCTCTGGCCTCCCTCAGTGTGGAGACAGAGGAGGAAGAGGAAAGGCCAGGTACAGGGACATTGTTTCCCTGTCTGTCACTTCCACACTATTGATGATCTGCACCGTGTCTATGGGCCACCTGTTCTGTTCTTAATATTTTTCTTAAACTAGCTTGCTTTTAATATATAATTTAAATAGGAAAGTACTGCATAAGAAAAAAGAAGAAGCTGCATGGCAACAGCGCTGTGCGCAGGGCTAGGTGACTTGAAATGTCCTTGAGAAGTGGGTCTGTGGTTGCTGACCTGGGTAACCAGGGACCTGGAAAAGTAGGAGCAGTATGGTGGCTGGAGCAGCTGAGGGTCAGCTGGCACTGGACAGAGGCATGGATGACCTCACATGCTCAGTCCTCAGCAAGTGACAGCTGAATGCTCCTCCTTCCTTGTTTCAGCTTCTCCCTCCTGTTCCACACTTCCATTTTCCTCTGATCTCAGTGTGTGCTCTTCCTGTTTCCTCTGCTGTCTTCTCCTTCCTAGCCTTCTATGTCGGAGGCTCCAGGGCCCAGGTCAAGCCCATCCTCCTCCTTCCCTCACTGCCTCAGAGATTCGGACAATCTCAAGACTTTAAATTCCACCTTTACACGATCCCAGACTTCTCACCTGGGCTCCAGTGTCATACCCATCTTCCTGTCACTTCTCAGATGGAAAATAAACTTGAACTTGCCACATCTCAAGCAGGACTCCTGCCCTCTGCCTCTCAGGGATTGGCAAGTCACTTCTTCCAGCTGCTCAACTGAAAACCTGGTAGTCAGTCATCCTTGACTCTTCTTTTGTTTTTCTGAGACAAATCTTGCTATGTAGCCCAGGGTAGCCTCCTAGCCTTGCACGCTCAATCCTCCTACTTCAGCCTCCAGAGCAGCTGGGATTACAGGTGACATTGTGCCTGGCTATCCTTGACTCTAACTCACACTCCATATCCAATTTTCAGGAAACCCTGTTGGTTCTGCCTTCAGAATATGTCCAGAATTGAATAGATCCAGAACTCTACTACCCTAGGCCAATGCTACTGGCTATTAACTTGTGCTTGTATTGTCCCAATGACCTCCCACCTGGTTTCCTACCATTCGTGACTAGATTAAATGGTGAGTGAGATCTGTCTCTGTCCTACTCCAAGCTCTCCAACATTTCCCCATTTCAGAGTAAAACCCAAAGGCCTTAAAGCCTACAGGGCTGTACACAATTTGCTCCGTTGCTCGATTTACTCTCTGTCCACACATCCCCTACTCTCCTCCTCCAGCCACAGGGCTCTCTTGGCTGTCCACTGGACACACCAGTGTGCCCCCCACCCCATGCCTGGCTGGGCCTCTGCCTGTACCAGTCCTCCTCCAAGTACCATTCAGGGTTCAAGGCTCACCTCCCTCAAGTCTGAAATCCAGACTCCACCCACACTCCCCATCTGTGGGCAGAATTTACAGCTTTTTAATATACTAAATGATTTCCTGTGACCCCAAGTAGGATGGTCTATTAGACAGGGAATTACGTCCGCTCTGTTCTCTGCCCTCTCCCCAGCATCTAGGACCATGGCCCTGGCCGAGCCTCCGCTGTGCAAGTGCGCAGACCCTCCGGAAGGGAGAGGTGGAAATGAGAGGAGCGAGGGTGCAGGAGAGGCTGAACTGGGCCGAGGACGGGGAGGCTGAAGCCCGGGTGGAGGTCTGGGAGGGGTGAAGGGTGGGCAGAGAGGAGATCCGGGAAACTAGTGCGGGCCTCCATCGGGGAGGCTGGGCGCTTGGGCAGGAGGCTCAGCCCCCACTGGGACCACTTCCCAGGTACCCATGCTGCCGCTCGCTGGGGGACAATGGACAGGGGGATTACAGCAGACTTCCAGCGACTGGTCAGAGATGGACCAGCGGGAAGTTCTAAAACCGGACGGCTGAGGTGGGCAAAGAGGGAAAAATCTCGGTTAACAGTCATGGGAGTCAGCCGGGGCGCGGCGGCTCACGCCTGTAATCCCAGCTACTCAAGAGGCAGAGATCGGGAGGATCGTGGTTTGAAGCCAGCCCGGGAAAAGTTTGCCAGGCCCTATCTCGAAAAAAACCTCCACACAAAAGGGCTGTTGGAGTGGCTGCGGGTGTAGGCCCTGAGTTCAAGTCCCACTACCGAAGGGAGGAAAAAAAAACACCGCGCGACTCATTAAGTGACCGGATGCAAGGAGTGGAGGGCGAGAAAAGGGCCCAGAGGGCGGAAACTGGGACGTCCCCTTGCCAAGCGAGTGACCGGCACCGTGGGGCACTTGCGACGGAAGGAGCTGGGTGGGCGAGGAAGGAGGAGGCTCCACCCGCCAAGAAGGTAGCAGAAGGGGCGATAGGGGCTGCGGGGGCGACCCGACACCGCCGAGAGCTTTTTGTGGGCTCGTGGAGGTGGGCTGAGGGCGGCAGGTGCGCGCCGAAGCTGCCAGGCGACGGCGCCAGTCTGGGCTGACGCGACAACCGCGAGCCAGGCGCGCAACCCCAGGCGCAATCGCGCGGAGCGCCGCCACGCGGGGCGCGCGGACTCTCCTGCTCTTCCCCACCCTCTCCGCTCCGCTCCGCCCCGTAAGCCCCGCCCCGGCACCCGGGATCTGGCCAATCAAGAAGCGCGGCAAGCCTCCAGTTCTCTGAGGCCCCGCCCCGGACCGGCGCGCCGCCAGCCAATGGGCGGCCGAGCCTGTCGCCCAGTGCGCGCAGCCCGCGCGGAGCCGGCTCAGAGCGAGAAAAGCGAACCCAACCCGTCGGGGCCGCCGCTCCGGACCCGCCAGCCGCCGCCGCCTCCTCCCCCCCGGATCGGGTGTACTGTCCCAACCCGAAAGTCCAGTTCTGCGGCCCGGCAGCGGCGAGCGAGCGCGATGACACAGGAGTACGACAAGTGAGTGAGGCGCGGGCGCGGAGTCCGGCCGCCGCGGGGCCGCGGGGCCGCCGCTGTCCTCTGCCGCCGGTGGGCCGCCCGCACCTGCGTCGAGCGAGCCCGGCGCCGGCTCCGAAGGCTGGCGGGGCGCGGCGAGGCCGGCGCCGGGGGTGGGGGGGTCGGTCCGTCCGTTTTGTCCTCCCCGCAGCTTCTGCCCGCGCCTTGGTTCGGCCGGAGCCTCCCGAGGAGTTTGGGGCGCGCGACACCCTCGGCCGGGGGAGGGGGGTCCCCCCTTTCCCGCGGGTCACGCACCTCGGGGGGCGTGGGGACCGCCGCGGCCGCCCCTGCGCGGTGGTCTGTGCGACAGGTGGACAGACGTCTGTCATTTGCCGGCACCTGCCGACTTGGCGGAACCCCAGAGGGGCATCTGGGGGAGGTCGGAGGCCCCTGGCCGGTGTGTGAGTGGTGAAAGTGCACCTGCATCCCGATGGCGATTACGGGTCGCCGTGTTTTACCGTGGGGCGATCGGGAGGGAGAGCCCCAGATCCCGGGCGAGTTAGAAAACCGCAGATTAGCAGGCCATTTGGAAATGCGACGAGTGCAGTAGGGGAGCCGGGACGAGGGATAGAGCTCCGTTTGTATTTGCGGTTCTTCTCTAAATGTGAAATTGTTCCCCCCAAAAAAGTTATTTGAAAATTAAAAAGGAGATCGCGCCAAGCCAGTCAGTCTATTACAGGTAAGTAGATCCAAAGCCAATTTATAATCAAGAGTCGTTTTAAGTGTGCTCGTCTTCTGAATGAGGTTAGCTATGTATGGAGTATGCAAAAGAGATTAATCTTGTCTTCTACAAGAGGCAGTAAAATTATTGCTTGAACCACCTCTGTTTAAAGGGCAGGGGATGTAGCTTAGTGGTAGAGCGCTTGCCTCGCTTGTGCAAGGCCCTGGGTTCGAGCCTCAGCATCTCAAGAAAAAAGTATATTTGAGAAGTCTGAGAGGTCACTAAGGAAGGGTCTAAGGCTGCCTGAAAGTACTGATGACCCTTTAGGACCTAACAGCAGCTCGATAGTCATGAAAAGGTGGTAGGTAGACTAAGAAAGGCTACTGCTTTTTGTTTACCTGTTGACTTACAGTTCAGGTACAGCAAAATGTCCAAAGCTAACATTTTGGCCTTAGGCACACTTTGGAAACATAAATCACCTTCAAGGTGATCACAGACATAAAGCCATTTGAAAAATATTTATTTTCTGATGCTTGTACAAATTTGGGATGGGGGTGGAAGAAGAGAAGCTGAAAAACTAGCACAACTGGACTTGAGTGAGACAAGTGCTGTCAGAGTCTTCTGGAAGTAGTTATTAGACTATTAATAATAGCTGAGCAGTGCACCAGAAAAACTCCTCAATTTGAGGTACCACTGTCTGGTAGCTGGGGGACTATGACCTGATGGCTTGGGGAATGCCACTCTGTATATTTTTCTGTTTTGTTAAAGCTTGAGATTAGTACAGTCCATTTTTAAACAAACTATTTTGTATTGACTTTATTAAAGTAGTAACCCATCTCCACACTTGTTCGGATGTAAGCTCCTAGGATGGTATTCCTAGGCCTGAGGAAAGATCTGGATTCTGAAGAAGCTCTTTGCTGGTAGCAAGACTAAATTAAGTTCCTGGATTTTTTCTCCCCTTTTCAAAGATGTTCTCTTTTTTTCTAAATCTATATCTGGTTTTAAAGCGCTTGGGTGACTGCCAAACCCTAACCTTTGTTGATTACTTGAAAAAGATAATCAGTCTTTCTACATTCACTTTTAGAAAAGGTAGGTCACCTTTAGGCCATTTACATATTTCATTTGTGTGTTGCAATGAGAACTGATCCTTGAATTTGCTAAAAATAATAATAATTCAGAGATGTTCTAAACATTATTTTTTCCCTTTACAAAAAAAAAAACAGCTTTATTTTGCTAGAGTCAATGTTCCAATTTTTTCTCTTTAATGACTTTTTAAATAGTACCAACTGAACAGTTGTTGAGACTGTTTACATTTCAGATTTTTGGGATCAGTAATGTTTGCCTTAATCTTTTATATTAAATCTTCTATAAAGCTTCACTAAGTTCACCCATTGATGTTCTGGTGTATTCCCACCAAACTGCAGTTTTAAAATGAGACAGTTCTTGCCCAGTGTGAAAAGCTAGTAAAGACGTCATTCATTTTTTGGAGGGGTTCTGGGGCTTGAACCCAGGGCTTCGAGCATGGTAGGCATACGGCTGCTGGCCTGTATCTTTAGCCCCTAAAAATTAGTAAAGATTTTAAAAATCGGATTTCTCTAGCTGCTTTTAAAAATCTGTTTTCATTCACTGGCTTCATTTATTGTAGATTCTTGAGTGTTTATCTCTAAGATAAACAGTTAACTCTCAAGCCAGAAGATTATGCCCCTTTATTGATTTACAGTCCCCTTTGGCGACATTCCATGCTCGATCTGCTGGTCGTCAGCAGAATACCCTAACCTTCCCACATACCCCTCGGATTAAGCAGAGTATTCCTTTTCCTTTCTGCCCCTCCTCCCCTGCCCCTGTTTTTGGGCAGGAGAAAGAGGGAAGTAACAAGTAGCAGCATGATTAACTGTGTACGCTTAAGAAGAAGGTGCAGTCTCAATTGTGTGTTTGAAAAGAAGCAATGTTCTCTTTGCCTTACTGTCTGTGTCCTTGTGTTTACGTGAAATATTTGAATAGCACATTGTTTTCTTAGCGGTGTTTTGGGGCTTTCTAAACTGCATACCCTGGGTGCCGTGTGTAGGTTAACTGTAGGTTCCCTGGCTGCCTCTGGACCTTGTATTTTACTGGGGGACCCATTGGTCTGCCTTTAATGAAGACCTTCTGGTCTTAATTTGACTTACTAGCGTCATCAGAGAAACAATAGACTATTTTATAGGAATGTCAAGGAATTATTTGGTTATTTAAAAATTACCTTATGATGCCTTGCAGTAAAAAGTGTGACTTTTTTTTTATTATTACTACTTTTTCTGAAGCAAACGGCCAGTGTTGGTTCTTCAGAATGAAGCACTTTATCCCCAGCGGCGCTCCTATACTAGCGAGGATGAAGCCTGGAAGTCTTTCCTGGAAAACCCTCTCACCGCAGCAACCAAAGCGATGATGAGCATCAACGGGGACGAGGACAGTGCTGCGGCACTGGGCCTGCTCTATGACTACTACAAGGTAGGCCACCTGCTCTCAAAGCCCCAGCAGCAGTCTCAGACGCACTTGATTCAGCAGCGTATAAAACAGTCATTTGCGGTACAATGTCATGCTAGTTGCTTCTGTAGTGACTATAAATAGTTTAATGAATACTTTGACTTACTGTGGTTCAAAGCTGAAAATCTACCAGCAAAGAATCAAAGGATTGTTTTTTTAAACGTGTGAATTAGGCAGCTGGTCTGGCTCTGTCTGAAAGGGTGAAGCTGCCATAAAAGAAGATGGTGGATGTGCCTTAGTGGACTCGAACATGTTACCAAAGGTGGTTCTTTGTGCCATGAAGAGTGGGCAGAACTAATTTGCCTATGCGCCACCCTTTGTTTCTGTGTAGTCAGGTAATTGTCTTTTTTGTAAATGTTACTTACAGATTTGATTGTAGGAATCATTAAAAAAAAACATTTTCTAGTTTGGGACCTTCTGGTTCTGAGATTAGGATATATATTTTGTTGCCTGCTTCTAAAGATCTGTGTTAGTCTTCTTAAATATAATCTGCACTATGCATGGATCTTGACATGGTTTTTCGTGCTCTGAAGAGGACACCACTGATCTGACTCATCCTCACTGAAGTTGTATTAATACAGCTGCTGCCTACTTAAGACCTGTTACACTGGACATGTTACCAGTATGTCTGTCACTTCTCACTCTTGGGTCCCGCAATGTGGATGTGTTCAGCTGGGGTTTCAGTCCTGGTCTGACTCATGCCAGAGCCTGGCCTCTGCAGGGCAGTGTGTTCTCTACTCAGATGTGCCTGCTTCTGCTCTCCCTTGACACCTTTCTGACCAGTGGCAGACATTTGGGGAAAGTTATTCAGATTCTAGGATACCCAGCTTTGGCACATGGCCTTTGTCTTGTTAGTGCCATGTGTAACTTATATGCACACATTGTGCTGTCACCACTGCCTTTATAAAGACAGGCACTTTTCAGATTCTCAGAAGCTGCTGCTTTTTCTTTTTCTCTTGACAGTCTCAGAAGCTTCTTGATGATAATGTCTCCTTATGGATCGTGTGTGTGTATTACAGTTGCAATTTTATTTTTGCCTTTTTTTTCCACGTCAGATGGGTAATGTGCCAACATTGTGACCAGATTTGAGGGAGGCACATGTCATGCAAAGGCAAGAACTCACACTCATTACACTTCTGAATAAAAAAGTATATTTACCATCTTTCTATTTTGGAAATCTTCAGACTTACAGAAAACTTAAAATAATGGAGTAATTAACTCTTAAATACCTTATCTAGCTTTACCAGTGTCTTGCCTTTTGTTATATTCTGGCCATGTGTTCTTCCCTGAATATAAGAAAATCAGAAGCTGGGCATGGTGGTGCACATCTGTAATTCCAACACTCAGGAGATGCTGAGGCAGGAGGATAGTGAGTTCAAGGCCAGTCTGGGCCATGTAACAAGACCCTATCTTGGGGAAAAAACAAAACAAAACGGGGGGAAATAAAAAGCAAAGAAGAAAATTGGGTTATCAAAATTAGGTTGGGAACTAAACAAAATTCAGTTTTAGTTATTTCTGGTATCAGGCCATGTGTCCAATTTGTAGTGTTCGAGGGATTGCAATAAAAAATTTTTTCATCAAATATGAATAGAAACTTGTATAATAACTAATGTTTGAAAGAAGCTCTTGCCTAGGAAGTATAACATAAAGAGTTCCTTTGAAGTAGAAATTAATATGTATGTGCTCTTCCGGCTTGTTTTATTGAAATCAGTGTAAAACCAAAGATATTAATTACGAGGTTATCCACATTTGGGGTAGGGGCCAGTACTGGGGTTTGCACTGAGGGTCTTGCAGTTGCCAGGCAGGCACTATCCCACTTGCCCCATGCCCCCAGTCCTTTCACTTTCATTATTTTTCAAGTAGGGTCCTGTGTTTATGCCCAGGCTGGCCTGTACTGCAATCTTCTTTTATTCATGCTTCTCCTTGATTTGAGACAACAGGTGCGTGCCACCACCCCAACTCTTATTGGTTGAGATGGGATCGAACTAACTTTTGCCCTGGCAGGTCTTGAACTTCAGTGCTCCCAGTCTTCACCTTCAGAGTAGCTAGGATTACAGGTGTGAGCCACCACACCGGACCTGCATACATATTTTTAACTGAAACTTGAGAATGGGAAAAGCCAAAAAGTTTAGTGCCAGAAAGACCAATGCGGTATGTGTACGCATTTTAAATGAAACGTCTTAAAAGTATAGCTGTATTTTACATCTCAAGAGAAGCTAATCCTCATGTCTGCCCCTTAAGGGTGGCAATTTGTAGTGGTATTTACTTGTCAGGCTTCTTGTGGTAAGTGTAAAACTGTTTTTGGTTTTGATGAATTACTTGCTTCCGTTCTTCCGTTGTAAGCTTCAGTCATTATTACTTGATAACTAGTAAAGCTTTAAAAGTACATTGCTAATATATGAAATGATGATTTGTTTGTCTTTAATGGTAAAACACGTAAGAACAGGATTCCCCACCCTCCCAACCATTTTCACACATCTCAGCAATCTTAGAGTGTTCTCTGGGACTGTGTCTCCATTGGGTTGATGTCACAGTTTCCACTAATGTTTGCCTGCTTCTCACCTCCTTGGAAAAGAAAAGAAGAGTCAAAAAAGGAATAGAACAAACTGAGTTAGACTTGTCCTTTGGGTAAAATGGACATTTTAATCCCAGAGTATCTGAAGACACTACCTCTGTGAAATCGGCATTTGGATCGTGGAAGAAATGAACTGTCTCCTGGCTCTTTCTTTTGATTTTTGAGTAGTTTTGGGAAGAGTGGAGCAGTTGGGAAGCTGAAGAACTGAACGCACTTTAGGTAGCTTCTTCTCTGCTGGGCTGTGGGCACAGGGGTGTGGCCTGAGTTCATTTGCCGACTGCTTAACAGTTGCTTTTTGCCCATCACTATGGTGATGGGATTGAAAGCTGCTTGAGAGCTTCATTGTATCCCCAGAGCCTGGTGCTTGGTAGACACTCAAAGATAGTGAATGATTAAGTTTGCTGAAAAATAAAAACGCTGTTTATTTGGGTGAGCTGTCTCACTGGGTAAGAGCTGAATTCTTACCATGCGTGTAATGTATTAGGTCCCAAGAGAAAGACGGTCATCAGCGGCAAAGCCAGAGATCGAGCACCCAGAGCCCGAGCACAGCAAAAGGTAATGCTTAATATGCAGCACAAAATAGTACACTTGAAGATGGCGTGCATGTCTAGAAATAAAACGGGAAAATCCATCTCAATGAACAATAGCTAGTGGGAGAGATGAGTTAATTGACTCCTGATCTCTCAGAGTTCTGGTTTCATTGCTAATTTGCCTCTCTTACGCCTTTTTTTTTTTTTTTTTTTTGGTGGCACTGGGGTTTGAACTCAGGGCTTCACACTTGCTAGGCAGGTGCTGTACTGCATGAGTCAAGCCTCCAGCCCTAACTTCCCTATAGTTTGTTTAAGCATTGTTGCCTTTTCTAGAAAATGAAAGCACTAACTTTCTGCTCCTCCCAAGGAGTTTTTAGTGAATTGTTGCTTATTTGTTTTGAGACCCTCTTAAAGGGAATGTGGCAATGGACTGAGATCTTTAAAAAAGAAGTTAGTCAAGCGCGTTTGTGCATTCCTATAATTCTACCACTCAGGAGGCAGAGACAGGAGGATCACAAGTTTGAGGCAGCCTGGGCTACATAGTGAGATCCTGTCCCAAAGGGAAACAGGTGCTGGGTGGAGTGCTAGCCTGGGATAGGCAAGGCCTTCAGTTTATCCCCAGCGTTACACACATACACACATAGTACCAATGACTCTTGAATAGCTGTCTGATTATTCAATAAAATAAGTTACATGCTGTTCAAACTCCTCTTGAAGTTATTTTTTAAATATTTAAAACTTTCAGAAAGCTGAATTAAAGCTTGACTTTATGGCCATGAAAAACTTCTTTTTTATTTGTTGGTTTTTATGAGAAGGGGCCCCCTGTGTAGCCCAGGGTGGCCTTGAACTCCCCAGTGCTGGGATTTTAGGTATATACCACCATGCCTAATGAAAAACTTTAAAGATACTTTCTAGCAAACATAGGCCCTGAATTCAAACCCCAGTGCTGCCAAAAAAGAAAAGAAAAAACAAAACAAAAGAAAGACACCTTTTAAATTGTTCCATGTTTTAATAGTAATGAAGAATAAATTAGCCAGGCTGAGGCAGGAGAATCAGGAGTTCAAGGTTAGCCAGCCTGGGCTACACAGCAAAACCCAGTTTCAAAAAAAAAGAATAAAACATACTTAAAGAATCCCTCAGGATATTATTATGGTGACAATTACTTATTTATTCACTTAGTTATTGCTTTGGTGTGCACACACATGGTATATGGCTACAGTTGTAGTCACAGATAGGAATTGGTAGAATGCTTTCTCTACTTAGTTTGTGTCATAAATATTTTCCATGTTGCTGTTTTGATCTTTATGACCATGCTTTGAAGAGGGGCTTACGCATAGCTTTTATTTCTAATTTGTATCGTGGGCATTTTCAACCATAAGAAAAGGAGCAATAGTATAGACCCACAGGATCCGTTGCCAGCTTTCGCAGTTGCCAGCACCGTTTCTCCTGCTTAACTTACTCTCTTTCTTAACTTTCAAATTAATTTCGTATTCATCTTTGCTGAAGTATTCTGAAGCAGATTTAAAATATACTTATTATTGTGGATGTATGGTTTATAGCTTTTTACCACGACTAAGCCTTAGTGGAAACATTTGTGGATAACTTTCTCCAAGTTTTTGTTTTTTCTTTTTTTCCTTCAGTGCTTGGATTAAGTTCAGGGGCTCACACGTGCTAGGCAAACAGTCTTACGCTGAGCCATGCCCCAGCCCTTTTTTGCTTTAGTTATGTTTCAGATAGAATCTTGAATTTTTGCCCAGGGCTCACCTCGGTCCAGGATCCTTCTGCCTATGCTTCCCAAGTAGCTGTGCTTACAGATGTGTGCCACCACACTCAGCCCTTTATTGTATTTTGAGACAGGGTCTCCTTAGGCTGTGTAGAAAACAGCAACATTCCTCCCTCAGCCTTCTAACGTTTTTAGCATAAATTCTCAGAAGTGAATTTATGGTTTGGGGTTTAAACAATTTTATTGATGTTGAAATATACAAAATTGATAAATGCTTTTTTCCTTAAGTTTTCAACCTGTAAGGCTTCAGGAGGCTTTAAAAATGTCACCCACTAGAAATCATTCACACACTGCCCAGGGTATTTATTAAACCAAAATTAATTTTATGGAAAATAGCTACTGGTACAATGTGATAGTAGGGTTTCTTTGAAAGAAAAGCCAAGTAGCATCAGTATCAGGAAAGCAGTAGCAGAGCCATAGTAGCTCGTGAGCACCTGTGTGCTCCCTGCATTGGAGGGACACTGCATTCCGTCCTCAGCCACTGAGAGGAGGAGAAACCCCACTGTTCCCCACTTCACAGATGAGAATTGAGCTGACGCAGAATTTGAATCCAGCCTGAGTCTGTTCTCTAGATTATCTTTGTAGCTTCAGACTTATAGTAAAATATGAGAATTTATGTTAGGATTATTGAAAATAAAGCTTATTAGAGGAGAACTCAGTCTTCAGTATTTCAAATAAGATTTTACTTTGTGCTTTTGGATTTTACATGACTTACAACTATAAAGTCTTTTCTCCTTCACTAGTAATGTGTTGTGCCATTTTCTGTTAAATTGGTCTCTACCAAGTATATTATTACTGTGAGGGACCCGGGGAATCTGGGGGGTGGGGGATGGTAGCTCAGTGGTGGAGTGCTTGTCTAACTTGTCTGAGGCCCTGGGTTCATTCCCCATCACCCCATCCCCCCAAAACATTGTCAAAGAACTGTGTCAGCATTGAGTTTAAACATGCAATTCTTTTTTCCTTAAAGAAACAGCATACCAAATGTGACTGAGCAGCCCCTCATTTCTGCTGGAGAGAACAGAGTGCAAGTACTGAAAAATGTGCCCTTTAACATTGTCCTTCCCCATGGCAACCAGCTGGGCATTGATAAGAGGGGCCACCTGACAGCTCCTGACACAACAGTCACTGTCTCCATTGCAACTATGCCCACGCACTCCATCAAGACTGAAATCCAGCCGCATGGTTTTGCTGTTGGAATCCCCCCAGCAGTGTATCATCCCGAGCCCACTGAGCGCGTGGTAGTTTTTGACCGGAACCTCAGTACTGACCAGTTCAGCTCTGCTCAGCCCCCAAATGCTCAGCGGCGGACTCCAGACTCCACTTTCTCCGAGACCTTCAAGGAGGGTGTTCAGGAGGTACAGGAAACAAAAACGTCATCCTAAGATGGCAGTGTGTTTGTATAAGTATTGGGTTCCACCTTTTCCTTGTTATATAAGCTTGAAACTCAGCCTGAAGTGAGTGGATTAGGAATAAAGGATTTTTTTTTTTTTTTTTTTACAAAAAAGGCGCATGGGTTTAATTTGTAAGCTAAACCTATAAATCCAGAAATTATTATCATGGGCACATGGCTAATCTTACCAGGAGCTGAGTTAACAATTAGGAGTTCAGTGAAGTGATTTGCTGGAGAGAGAGAAAGGCAACCCCAGGCATAATCTTCCATTGAGCACAGATAATGTTCACTCAGTCTGTTTCTAGCTTTTGTCCTAGACCCAAGCATGCTCACGGCAACTGCCTTAACACCAACTGTTTACGTCGTGTTTTCTTGGTGCTTCTTGGTTGGTAGTGCGGTTGGGGAGAGAGGGAGGTCACAGCATATCCTGTGAAGCTTTACAAATTAATTCCAAAGAATTCTGAGGGTTTATGATCATGCATACCTCACTTAGGTAAAAGTTAGGACTTACAGGGTGGGAAACCATTCTTAGTGACCTGTAGGGGAGATGGCATCTGTGTCTGCTGCGGAGTTAGGATAGAAAGTAGCCACTCCCGAGGGAAGGCATCAGACTCATCCAGCTGTGGTGTGAACTTCACTCCCAGACCTCATGCTATTTTGGTTACAGATTCTAGAGTCTGAACAAAATTGGGGTGTGTGGGAAAGATAGATAATGGATCCCAGGCACTTTGTGGAAGCGTGTATGCAGATGGTCTTTTTTGTTGCTGTTGTTGATACCAGAGGGTTTGAACTCAGGGCCTCGAGCTTGCTAGGCATGTGCTCTACCACTTCAGCCATGCCTCCAGCCTGGATGGTCTTTTTTTTTCTGAGACACAGTCTTCCTACAGAACCCAGGCTGGCCTTGAACTTGAGATCTTCCTGCTTCTACTTCCCAAATGCTAGTATTCTGGGCATATGCCACCATGTCCAGCTGCACATGGATTGTCTTGAGTGGCATATAAAAGTAAATTTGTACTTTTTATAATTTAAAAAAATTTAATTGATTTCGCATTTTTATTTTGAAATGAGTGTTAAAAGTGTAGTGGGCTGCTATAAGCCACACATTGTATGCTGTACCAGACCTTGGTTTTTGGAATCATGATAATAGTTAAATGGTTGTGGCTTATTACATTGATATTTCAGGTTTTCTTCCCCTCGGACCTCAGTCTACGGATGCCTGGCATGAATTCAGAGGACTATGTATTTGACAGTGTTTCTGGGTAATGGTTGTCTTTTAATTTAATTTTTTAATTTTCAGCATTTATGATTTCTTCCTTTTGGTTACCTGATACTGACAAATCCGAGGTGGCTTTGGTGGGCTTTCTCTTCATTTCACTCCACTAACTGTGGCCTTTTCTTGGGTAGAGGACATTTGCTGTGTGCCTTTGATTTTGGACTCTTTGGATGGTTTCCAGTTTCCTCAGCTCTGGTGTTGGTGCTTTTTCTTCCTTAGCTTGTTTCTGTGATGTTGTGGGATGGAATCTGAAAGGAGAGATGGGGATTAAACTAGATCACTGGGGCCCCTTCTCTCAAAAGTGTATAATCAGGTGAGAGTTTGAGAGTAACATCAAGTAAACAAAGGCCTTTTTTAATTACTCTTGTTAATGATGAAATAAATGAAGGCAACTTCTTTTCTGACCTGACAACTTTTTAGCCTCACAAAACTGCATCTTCCTTTGGGAATATGGATATTTTCCAAGTTCATTAGGAACATATATAAACACCTTCAGGTTATTTTTTAAAAGTCTTAAGATTTCATTTTATCATTTTAGTGGGGTTTTTTTTTTTTGCATGTGTTATATTTTGCAATTAAAAAAAAAAAGGTTTTCTGAAGTCTAGGATTTTATGGGAGTTGAGACTTGCCTTACAGATCTGCTCCAAGGCGCAGAGGTCACAAACTCAGCTGCCTTTAGAGGTTGGGGTGGAGTTAGCAAACTTTTCCTGGAACAGGTCAAGATAGTAAGTATTTTAGGTTTTGTGGTCTATATAGTCTCTTTGTGGTTTTGCAAGTACCCGGTTCTGCTGTTGTAGTAATGCAAAAGTAGCCACAGATAATGTATAAACAAATGGTGTGACTGTATTCTAATAAAACTTTATTTACAAAGATAGCTGTATTTTGCTGACTCTGGACTAGGAAGGCTCTTCAGGGGCATGTCTGAGTGGTGGTGTAAGGTAATAGAAGAATTAGGAAGTGCCCCTCCAGAGACATCTAGATTGCAAGCAGAAAGAACAGAAAAGTGCTGAGCAGGGCAAATTCCATTCAATTCAGGGCTTCCAGCTGCCTGTTTGCAGTCTTTGTGCGCATGACCTGTGAGGTTCCGCCCATGGCCTTTTCACTTACTGATGTCTTCTGTTGCCTGAACCTCCAAATGTCTAATTGTTAATACTACATCATAGGATTTCTAGTCTGCATTTTGTAGTACTCCGTCTGAGAGATTTGGGGATTGCTGGTTACTATGTACTTAGGTTTAAGACTGTCATGGAAAGGTAGCAAGTACTGCTTAGAATCTGGTGTGTCCAGTTTGATGTTTGCTGGTGGTCTGCTGCATTGAAGCATTTCAGGACTGTACTAAAGTGTGCAGGGAGCTTCCAAGAAACTGGATTAGAAATCTGTCACTTCTTTGTCCTTTAGGAACAACTTCGAGTATACCCTAGAAGCTTCAAAGTCACTTCGGCAGAAGCCAGGGGACAGCACTATGACATACTTGAACAAAGGCCAGTTCTATCCTATCACCTTGAAGGAGGTGAGCAGCAACGAAGGGATCCACCACCCCATCAGCAAAGTTCGAGTAAGTTCTGTTCCTGATTCTGTTCTCTAGGAAAGCTCACCAGATGTTCCCAGGGCCTAACATTTCCGGGTCAGAAACAGCTTGGAATGAAAGCCTGCCTGAAAGTGCAGTTTTCACTGTAAAACCTAAAGCTCAATAAGTTTCCAGTAAGTTACTCACCCCTCAGTGTCTTTATGTTGTCATGCATTCTCATTCACAGAGTGTGATCATGGTGGTTTTTGCTGAGGACAAGAGCAGAGAGGATCAGCTAAGGCACTGGAAGTACTGGCACTCCCGGCAGCACACTGCTAAACAAAGGTGCATTGACATAGGTGAGTGGTTCAGGAGCCTGCTCTTATTCCCAGAGGTGCAAGGCCCAGCTCTCTAAATCCAGTTATTTTTGGCAGTCATCAGCTTCCTGCCGAAAGTATTTGAATTTTTATGCCAGCCACTGATCTGTTCCAAACACTGTCCTGGGCCTCCTGGAATTAGTGCTCTGTCCTTGCTTTCTTCACAGAGACCTATGCCCAGGCAGTGGCTTTCCATGGCAATGCTGGGGCCAGGAGCTTTAGCCAACTGGCCTAGGAGTGTCCTACTTTTTAGTCTTTTTTTTTTTTTGCTTCTTTTGAGATGCTAGGAATGGATCCTGGTCCTTCACACATGCTAGGCAAGACTTTGCCATTAAGCTATGCTTCCAGCCTGGTTCGTACATTTTAGGAGTAACATCTTCTTTAGGAGATGCTGTGAACTGTTTGCCAGAGCTCACCTCGAACTGCGATCCTCCCAATCTCAGCCTCCCAAATAGCTAGAATTATAGACATGAAACTATCAGTGCCCAACCATTCTTTTTTTAAGACAGGGTTCACTTTGTCACCAAGGCTGCCTCCAAACTTGTAATCCTCCTGCCTCAGGCTCCTGAATGCTAAGGTTATAGGTGCGAGCCACCATGCCAGCTTGCGTTCTTCATTTTTTAAAAATTTCTTTCAATCCAACAAAATGTTAATTTAAATTATCAGAGCTGATAACATAAAAAGCTTAATGTTTCTTTGAGGTGCTGTGATTTCATGCTAAAAGTAAAACCATATCTTTGTTTTTCTTATTCATTATTTCATATAGCTGACTATAAAGAAAGTTTCAATACCATCAGTAACATTGAAGAGATTGCTTATAATGCCATTTCCTTCAGCTGGGACATTAACGATGAAGCAAAGGTATGTTAACAAGGTTCAGGAGCGCTTACATTGCCAGCTGTTTGAGAAGCAGGAGGGGGGGCCTGTTTTTAACTTTTTTTTTTTTTTTTTTTTTTTGGCGCTGGGGTTTGAACTGAGGACCTTGTACTTGCTAGGCAGGCCCTCTACCACTTGAGCCATGCCCTCAGCATTGACAACTGATCTTGTTTTTGCAGTATTGGTGGTGCTAGGGTTTGAACTAAGGACCTTGCAGTTGCTAGGCAAGTGTTCTACCACTTGAGTTTTGCATGTTTTCATTCTTATACATTATGAAACTATCCTTCTCCTTTCTGTCCTCCCGCCTCCTCTAAAAAAGAGCATTTTTGCTGACATCCTTCAACATGCAGACTCCAGTATGGAAAAACCTCAGCAATGAGACATCGTCTACCACACTGCCCCCTGTCTGGTGCCCAGTCCCCTTACTCACTTGGTTTTGTTCCCTCCATTTACGGGTGATACAGGATTAGTCCACAGTGCCCATCAAACTGGAGTGCCTTGGAGAAAGGTTTTGAAATAATGAAATTAGCAATATTCATTTCCCATTATTACCATGTAAACACAACTCAGACTCAGTGTTAAGATTCTTCGGTACTGGGCTTTTACAGTTGGAGATTACCTCCAGTTCAAGTTCAAGTGCTGATTTGGATAATCCATGCGCCCCCCCCCCCACTCCCGCCCGACATTTTTTTTAAGAGCCATGCCCCCAGTTCTTTTGGTTATTTTGAATAGGGTCTCACTTTATGTCTGGGCCAGCCTGGACCACGATCCTCCTTTATGCTTTCTGCATAGCTGGTTGAGATGGTGTATTACTAACTTTTTGCCTGGACTGGTCTCAAACCTCTATCCTCCCAGTTTCCTTCTCTTGAGTAGCTTGAGCCACCATACCCAGGCTATTTTTTTGAGATAGTCTTCATATGGCCAACCTCAAACTCACCATCCTCCTGCCTCAGCCTCATGAATGCTGGAATTACAGGTATGCACCACCATGCTCTGCTCATTTGGATAATTGATGAAAACTTTTAGTGTCCTCTAAGAAAAATTCGGCATATTCTTAAGTAATATCTACCCTTCCCACTGCATTCTTCCCCTTTTAAAATAATCTTCTGTTTTTCACTAAATCATTAGAGTTCTCATATTTACTCTGTTTGGATTGCTTTGAAAACTGGGAGCTCAAAGAAATATGATAGAAGCATTAAGCCACATTAAGCTAATGTTGTAATTGCTTTCCTGTCTTACTGTGGTTGTCAATGTCTAAGGCAAAAAAGGGTGTCTTTAAGCTGCAGGAGACCCTTTTCAACAAAGCATAGGCACTGTCATCTCCTGGAGGTTTTCCTGCCACCCACTTGATAGTGTTCAAGTGTTAGCAGGCTGCTCCGTCCCGCATTGGGTGCTCTGTTCATACTGCATTCACCACAGGGCCTACCAGGAGGGAGAAAGTGTGGCACATCCGATAGTCGTTTCCAGTCATTTTGAAATTACACTGTAACAGGACTCTGTGGCTGCTGAGAACGACCTCTGAGAAGAGGTGGCCTATGCCCTCTGGGTGCTCCTGTTCTCAAGGCTCACTGGAGAAGTGCTTCCTGGACACCACAAGGGACTGACTGGGAAACTGGAGCAATGATGAAGAGCCTACTAAGTCTTGAATTAACTTTTCTGACTTACGTATTACCTTTGGTCAGTCCCTCAGTTCCCTAGCTCAGTGTTTGCCTTTTTGGCACGCTAGAAAAATAAAAAGGCTGTAGTGGCCAGCTCTTTTCTCTGTTGGGTGTGTCCTGGATTAAGAAGCACTTGTCAGAGTCCTGGAGATCTTGGCTGTGAGAGCCCGAATGTGGGCAGGGCACTTCGTTTGTTTGATGTGTCACTCTAGGGTGGGAGTAGTGAGGCTGCTGGAGGGTCTCATCTGCTCAGTGCTCTGCTAGCTGATGGAGGCGGAGTGGGCAGCCCCTTCCTGCTTTTGGAAAGGCAGTGCCAGTTTTTTAATGAGGCTGTGTTTCTTGAAGGTGATAGCAGACATCAGCTTCAAGCATATATTAGAATTTAGTATCAGATTTTTTGCTTTTCCTGGACAAATTGATATTTTCTGAATTTATACTTAAAGTAATTAGTGCCTCAAAATAGCTAATGTGCATTCAGAATCCTATGTAGTTAGGGCATTTTGTTTAACTACTTTTTCCTGAAGAGATCTACTTTCTTAAATACCCACTTTCTTTTTGTTATTTGAGATATGTTGTATGTTTTGCTTTTGTTTTTGGTGGTGCTGGAGAACAAACCCAGGTCTTCATGCTTGCTAGGCAAGTGCTCTACCACTGAGCTATACCGGGCTAGGATATGTTGATTCTTAATTCCAGTTCCTCTCTCCCACAGACATAAGGGTTGTGGAAGTATGTGCCATGCCTTCCTTCCCTCCTCTCTGTGGTACTCCATTACCCTCCTGGCCATGCCAAAGTGAGTAGAAGCAGAATTTTGACCAGGGTCAACCTCTGAATCTTATTTTTAGCTTCTGATTCTCACTTGTATTTTTAGGAAGAGTGAGGGTGAATCGTGACAGTCTTAGCATATGTTCCGCATGGGGAAACACTGTCCCAGCCAGGGCTCACTTTATTCTGCACCTGTGCACACTCCATTTATTTGGGTAAGCATATACCCGCTGGTGCTATAGGAAATATTGAGATAAAAGTCATTCATTTTCAAAATGGTTGGTTTCCCCCAGGCATCGGACTGGCCACCATGCAGACCAGTTTCATTTATTTTATTGTCCCCTTTGAAGTTAGAGGTTCATTTTGCAGTCAGGCATCTTCTAAAGATTCAGAAATCTCTAGACCTGAGGGCCCTGGTCTCTGAGAGAAGAGAATAGAAAGTGAGGAAAGAGCAAACTGTAAGGAGCCCAGCTGAGCTGTGTGGATGTTCTTCTAGCACCAGTGGGTGCCTTCCCCACAGCAGGAGCCTCACCTTCATCCAGCCGGGCCTGGTGCTGCTGCAGACAAGACCCTGTGCTAGCTCAGGCTCCCAGCTCCAGGCATGTGGTTCCAGGTGCTAATGATAGTATCATGGTTCATGTAGCCGTGGGTTAAATAGGCTTTTGGGGGGTAGTCTGAGACCCTAAATATACCATCATGAGTTCTAAGGAAAGCTGTGTATACCACTTTACAGATGGACTTTGGGGGCACAGATAATGTGTAAATTAGAGCTTTTTGTCCTGCAGTAGTTTCAGCATTTCCTAACCCAAGTAAATAATTGTGGATAGGCCACACAGCTTGGTCTAGAAGCTAGTTTCTACTTGGGTTGTAAACCTTAAGATTTACAACAGCATTGAGATTTGATTGGTGACAAGAAGTAAGGGCCTCTCAGAGACTTGAAGATGTAAAGTAAACAGAAGTCAGGGAGAGAGACCTGAGTTCTTCCAGTGCCTGTCACCTGCTGTGCTATGCTGAGGTGCCTTGCCTGTGTTCACAACCAGCTCAGTGCCCACACAGCAGCACCTTGTCCTGGTGATTATTGTTTGTGGCTTGGTGTGATAAGGGACCTTCGAGGAGGCAGAGTAGACCTGGATACGAAAAAGCATCATTTTACTGGTATTATTATTAATGATTATTATTTTGCAGTAGTGGGGCTTGAACTCGGGGCCTACACCTTGAGCCACTCCACCAGCCCTTTGTGTGTGTGTGTGTGTGTGTGTGTGTGTGTGTGTGTGTGAGATGGGTTTTTTCAAGATAGGGTCTTGAACTATTAGCCTAGGCTGGCTTTGAACTGCGATCCTCCTGATCTCTGCCTCCTGAATAGCTAGGATTACAGGTGTGAGCCACAGCACCCATCAAGAGGAAGCATTCTTGACACTGGAGATTACTTAACAGTGTTAGAGATCTTACTAAGAGGGCAGCATTGTAGCCTCACTAGTAGAAATCCCTGCAGCAAAAGAGTGCTTCTGCTGCTAGTATGTAAATTTACATCAGATGAGTGATGCTTAGCTACAGAGGAGTGGGAACTAGAAACCAAAATGCAACCACACGGGACCCCACCAAGTCCTGGGCAGCACCAAGGACAGCCCTTGATCATAGTCAATGAGGTGGTCTGACAAAAGAGGAAGATGGCGATGGTTCAAAGCACAGCTCAAGATTTTTTTGTTGTTTATATATGTAGATGTGATCATGAATATTAAGCAACCTTTTTAAGGATGTAATGAACCCGAGGGATACAAAATACCTAACCAATATGATTTTTCTAGTGGTGACATCTAAATCCTTACTCTAGAAGGTGGATTATATTGCAACTAATATTCACGTGTTCCATTGAAAAATACCAACAGCCAGATGTGTGCCGGGCTCCTTCTGGAGTGAGCGATGTCAGAGAAGTATTAGCTGGAGAGTTGGGTTTTGCTTTGCTATATCATGCATTTCCTGGCCTAAGACACCCTGAGCTCTGGGTATTTCTCCAGCAATGCAGTTGTGGGGACCTGGGTGCTATTCGTGAGTCTTCATCAGATCATCAGAAGGAGACTTTTTCTCAGCATTCAGACTGATGGAACTGCATCTTTCAGTGGCATGATCCTGACTTTGGGTTCGACAGAGCCAGCTGCAGTACATTTTCCATCTCCTCCCCACTTCATTTCCTTCTGTATCTTGCCTTCTGTGTGGGGCCCTAGCCTAAGGGGCACCGGCAATCAGAGGCAGAACAGAATCACAGCATCCTGCTCCCTGTCAAATAAGAGGACTTTATACTTATACTGATAGCTATAATCTTTGCTCTGAGAAGGAATATGGAAGCATTCGGAATGGTTGTCCTGAAAACCAAGTGTTTCATGTCGTGGAAAGACTCATGTTATGAAAGCCAAAGGATTAAAACAATTTGAGGCCTTATGTGAGTACCCAGGAGCTTTACTGAGAGGACACCTGTGTTGGGATGGGATGGGATGGATGGGGCAATTCGCTTTTGTCTCCTTGTCTCAGCAAAAGCCTGCGGAGTTCCTGGTGAGAGATCACTGATGC